ATACATATAGGTACTACATGTGGACCTCTCTCAGATTTGTTCATTTTCTAATGATATCTTCTGTTCTTTAATTGCCATGTGCATTGCTAACAGCGGAGCTATCTCAGCCGACAGGCTGCTTGTTTTATGATTTGTTTGCATCGTATGGGACCCATGTCAAACATATGGTGTGAAGACTCTGACACTTTAAATGTCTATTCAAAATAGATAGCACGGTAGATAATTACAACTAACTAAGAATACTTTATAAAATGTTGTAGGCGTTTCACTTTATTTCGATACTTATATGAAATATCCTTATTCCCGCAGCACAACATATTTATCAATTACTTTCATGTACTTGTAATGTATCCATTAATATAAAATGTGACCCGTCTCTTAATTGAATAAAAGCACAATAAAATGTGTTATCGTTTGTACCACCTGGTGTGGCTTCCATATTGCTATTTATCATGCTTGGGAATGCCACTGATACTGTATATCTTGAACCCAAGTGTCTCAATATTTGCCGGCCGAGATTGTCACTCAATCTTGATATTTAAGTTTTCCGTCATCAGATAACGGTTGCTGATGGGTCTAATATGAAACTACTGGATAATTATAAAACATTGCAAAAAAAATGAAAAAAAAGTAGTTTAAGCGAAAGTCGTCAGCGTTTTTGAATTTCCTGTAAAGAAACAACATAATATATATCAACATGACATGGTGCGATGTTTGCTATGTATTGCGCCTGATGTGTCAAAATAAAGGTGTCTAAAATAGCGTTGAAAAGTATCCCAATGTCGCATTTGCTATGTGTGCATAAGCTGAATAAATATCTATAATCTCAGCTTCCATCTCATCAATTTTAGATTAGATTGTCAAATAAATTTTGAGATAGCAGCATGTTTATCCTGTAACAAAATTCTGTAAACTGCTTCAATCTCTGATGAGACAAATATTCAAGAATTTTGTCTAACAACATTGAGTATTATTTTTCAATTCTGAAATTATTTTCAAAATTCTGAAAAGCAAAAGTTAATCAGTTTTAATTTGCATTGCATTCAAGTATGGGATGCTTCATTTCAAGTCAAGAGGAGGAGGAGGAGATCCTAGCTGGTTGTGTTTGTTTTCAAATGTCTCCTCTCAGTATTATGTTTGCAGTTGTTGGAGATTGAGATGTGGTTTCTCCTCATTCAAGCTTACCTTGACGGTACACTAATGGTTGTACACATTTCTGGAAATAGTGTTTTCAAAGTCTTCTTGCGACTTCTAATGTTTAAAAATTAGAAAATGTAGTCTGTTTCAGGATATTGCTTTTTATTTACATGAAAATTAGCAATTTTATAGGTGCAGTATTTGTATTCCCCTGGCTTTGAAACTGACACATATTTTATCGAGTGAAGAACATTATAGAAACTAATTTACAGTCGTAAACCTGGTGATCTACTCAACGGCTGAGATTTATACTCCTAATAAGGAATACATATAGCTGAATCGTGTCATGTCTGTCTAGTGGACGATAAATATTAATAATATCATGAATAACAATAAAATAATTCTCATGGGAAATATTATTTTTAAGTGCTATTACTAGCAGTCTCACTTTTTTCACTTGGCTACAAATTGAATGTTTTCTCATTTTAGAGCACTATTAATACTTCAAACAACGTTTGCTGGTCTTTACATCATTTTATGTGCTAAATACATTTTTCAAATTCATTTACATGCATGGTTCAGATTTCTACTGTTTGCCTGAGTTTGTATAACATCGTATTACATCGTATCTTGTTTATTGATTTAATGTTGCAAGTTAAGTGTTGTTCTTGCACCTCTTTTTATAACCTTTGACCCCACAACTAAGACTAATTACTCGTTGCTAGGATAGTGGAATCTTGCAGTTTGAGTTGAACCAATAACATGTATTGTATTTTGACAACATTATGCAAATTACCAGATTTTTGGAGGAAGTACCGGTAGTTTTTGTTTTGATTTTAAGTTTTTCTGATATGTTAATAAAGTGGACCTCGCAAAGATTTTGACATTGCCTCATGGAAATCTGTTCTACTTCTCCACACTCTCTTCTCTATACATCGCAACTCTAATTTCATCCACTACGTAATCTCTTCATGCCTGTGACATAAATGTTGTAAACCAATTCAATTTCGTAGATTGAGGAAAATTGTCTAATTTAGTAGTTGTAATAATTTCACCTTTAATAGTAGTTCTGTAACTTTTGTGAAATTTAATTTTTGTAAATGCCCTTCAATAATATTGTAAAAATACAACCATTTTGGCAGACAAATTTAAAGCGAGAGGCACGTGCGGGAATTGAGTCCCAAGTGACGATAACAGCACATGCTAAAAAGGCAAAGGCTCATGGGTAGAGACTTGTTTGTAAACAATGACACGCTTTGGCCATCTGACGCATGCGCAGGTGACGACTCCCCTGCTTTAATGGATGTTGTATATTTGCTACTATAAAAAAAATATTTTCACTGGCATTTAATTTTAATATTTTGATGTGTTAAGTTATTTCACTGAGTATTAAATTCATAACCAGGCAGGGAAACGACAAGCTCTTAGACTAGTTTATACAGTTACGTGGATTTAAATTAGCCAGTTTTACTTATCTGCAAAAATATTAAAAACCTGTGAATATTTAATACATTTACAGTATCATTCAATATTTGTTTCACAATACAGATGTTTTCCTGAGTAAATTATCATTGGATGTTGGCATATGGCAACTTAACAGAGTATAGTTACATGTATTATGTTGAGTGAGCTGTTAGTAACTTTTTGTTTTGTGCCACCCAGAAAAAAACCCCATGACAGCTAGCAAAGCATGGAACTGAGTTAATTCAATAATTATTCGTTTTTTTGTTGGTTGTACATGTATGTGTTATTTTTGTCTTTAGTTGCATGTTACAGAATCTGGGCATTTTTTCTCATTGCAAAGACGTATTACTGGACTAGATCATTGTTTTCATCTTGCATTTACATGTATAACAGCAGGGTCTTCTGGCTCTGTAATTGCTGGCATTTTAGTGTCCAAACCAAATAATTTACGTCTTTTGCAAATGTCAATTCATTTTGTGTAAGTCTTATTAAATGTGGACTCTTATTTAATATTCGGAGCATATTTTATATGATTATTTATCTGAGAAATTGTGCCCACCACATGTTAAAATGTTAACAATGTCCAAAACATTAATTATTCAATATCACAGCCATCCCTCATCAACCAAATAGTTTAAGCTAAAGTCATTGTGTCGCCGTGTATCATAACCCTAAAGCTCACTAACTGTATTACTATATGTGTTTATTACAGTATCTTCAGCTCTCTTTCAGTATTTTCTCAACTTATTCATTTTGTTCTTTCTTGTCTTCATTTCAGCTCACTCGAGTATTCAGAAGATTAATAAATAATTTAGACGTATCTGCGCATGATGAACAGTAAGTGTTGAAGTTTTGCATTTTGTTGCATAACATTCTCTACAAATGGAAGCAAGCTGGCAGTAGATCACAATGTGATTCTAACCCTAGTTCTGTGCAAATCATACAAATTGCTATTTCTTAGAAAGAGACAATAAAAAGCTTAGGTTCCAAACAGAATAATAACAACAGTTTAAGATTTGTATATGTGTAAATGTAAAATGTCCCGCGAGTTGAAATCTCTGAATCTAGTTGCGGGTGATAAATTTGTTGTTGTATTTTAGTTACACGTGTCCAGTCTTCACATCTACAGTTGACTTCAAGGGTGGGTGGGGAGTGGTGTGGGGTTTACCTCCGTTCAAAATCTATACACGTGTTGTGAAATGGGATTTTTTTTTTACCTTGTTTAGATGTAAGGTATTGGGTCAACTGGCGTCTGTTATCATCATCATCATCATGGCTTTGCTTTTTCATAAAAACTTTTTAAAGCAAGTTATAATTTCAATTTATTTGTAAAGTATTTACCTATGTTACTAAGATGATTAATTAACATGATTTGAATAATTTTGAAGGCAAGCTAAGCTTGATTAAAGCCAGTTAAATGTTAAGTTATGTGTGTGCTTGGACCATACTGGCTTCACTGGTCCCAGAGGGAATATGTGTTACAGTGTGTGTTAAAAATTGTGAAATAGTTTCTTGTGATCAAGAATACTTGCAATAAATCTCCTAAATCCCCTGTGAATACTAGACTGGGCTCTTATGTCAACAAATGAAGATTTTATTACACTAAGCTAAGGAGCAATTTCTAATTGATACATGTTTGCAAGCACAGCAATAAAAAATTACATGTGAACAGTCTTAATAGAAAACAGATGTCAGTTTATAATCACTGACACGAAAAAAAAAGAAGGCAGCAGCAATGTATTAAAGTGCCAAAGTAAATTATTGTCAATGTTCGCAAAATAAAACCCACATTTTCCCCTCATATTTAAAAAAAAAAATGATCAAGATCTGAAGCCAATGGAAAATAATGTCCATTTGGGCCACAATTATCAAAACAAATTATAGAAAAAAACAAACAAAGCAAAATACTACTTCAAAATGTAGGCAGGAGAAAAATACTCAAAAGATTAATGAAGTATATAATAATAATTTACATATAGTTAACTTGCTCATGGAAGAATTTCAAGGGAATTGTTGTTCTGATAAAATATTTCTTTGTCAAAGTTTATAATTTTGGAAACTCAAAATCCTCTGAAATTTCTCTTTGCTTTTTGAAGTTATAGAGCTTTCATAATTTAATTGGAGTGAATATTTTAGTCATTTTTAGTTTTGCTAATTTCACTGAATAATTACTTTGCTCACAGATACAAATCTTGTCAAAAAAGAATTTATAGAATTCCCTTTCAAATTATTGTAGCGATGGCTGATTGGAAAGTAATATTACTTAGTTATTTTCTCTACTGCATGTATTATTGTACATCTGTAACTGCATCGCTATTAGTTACAGCGCACCCTAATTTTGCCATATCTCACAGGGTATCTGCATCCTTACCATATTAGGTAATGTACTTTCCAAATATGGAAGGATTACGTAGTATTTCTATGATGGTGGATGCTTTTGAAAACTAAGTTCATGGCAAGAAAGTTCTAATAAGTTTTATCATTTTGCTCAGCTCTGGACTTCCTATATCAAGCAATTGGTTCACAAAGATGTATAATAATAATATTATTATTATTATGATGATACCGCAAGAATTTAAGACAGTATGTCGTTACATTAATCTCCACGACACATTGATCTATATTTCTCCTGTACTGTCTCCATGCACACATGGCAGTATCCTCGTAATAACCATATAGTAACACATGCGCTCAATATCTAATCAACAAAAGTTTGTCTATAATCAAACTATGCCAAATTTTAGAATCCAGTATAAAATAAATGCAATTTTTGTTTATACATGTATGTGCTTCTAATAGAACAAATACAGTATTATAGTAATTGCTGATTCTGATAAAAACACAAACAAATTGCAGTAACAATAACTTTACTAATTATACCCGGTATAATAACTTCTATTTATTCAAATCTAGGGTAAACCATTTTATAGGAGGGGTGGGTTAGGTGGCACATGTAAATACCCATTCTCTGAAATTATTTCTGTACATATCCATGTGATTCAATGCAACATATGATAATGAATCATTATCTGCTTTGGGTTATTCTCTTTTTTGACAGTTTCCAAAAGGTTCACCCTACTGCCAATCCATAACTTGACTCCATAAATCTTGTCCTTACCAGTACCAGTGTGTAGGGTCTTTCCACCTGTCGCTGTACGTAAAAAAAGAGTAACTTTTCAATCTTAATCATCAGGATATATATGGAATTTAACCCGTGTCACTCATTGTTGGTTGGTTTCAGCATTGCCAGTTCTACTGGTCATTGAACAGCCACTATGGCCATCTTACTGGTCATTGAACAGCCACCATGGCCATCTTACTGGTCATTGAACAGCCACCATGGCCATCTTACTAGTCATTGAACAGCCAGTATGGCCATCTTACTGGTCATTGAACAGCCACTATGGCCATCTTACTGGTCATTGAACAGCCACCATGGCCATCTTACTGGTCATTGAACAGCCAGTATGGCCATCTCACTAGTCATTGAACAGCCAGTATGGCCATCTTACTGGTCATTGAACAGCCACCATGGCCATCTTACTGTTCATTGAACAGCCACCATGGCCATCTTACTGTTCATTGAACAGCCACCATGGCCATCTTACTAGTCATTGAACAGCCAGTATGGCCATCTTACTGGTCATTGAACAGCCACCATGGCCATCTTACTGGTCATTGAACAGCCAGCATGGCCATCTTACTGGTCATTGAACAGCCAGCATGGCCATCTTACTGGTCATTGAACAGCCAGCATGGCCATCTTACTGGTCATTGAACAGCCAGCATGGCCATCTTACTGGTCATTGAACAGCCAGCATGGCCATCTTACTGGTCATTGAACAGCCAGCATGGCCATCTTACTGGTCATTGAACAGCCAGCATGGCCATCTTACTGGTCATTGAACAGCCACCATGCATGGCCATCTTACTGGTAATTGAACAGCCACCATGGCCATATTACTGGTCATTGAACAGCCACCATGGCTATTTTACTGATCAATTGAACAGCCACCATGGCCATATTACTGGTCATTGAACAGCCACCATGGCCATTTTACTGGGTATTGAACAGCCACCATGGCCATCTTACTGGTCATTGAACAGCCACCATGGTCATATTACTGGCCATTGAACAGCCACCATGGCCATTTTACTGGGTATTGAACAGCCACCATGGCCATTTTACTGGTCATTGAACAGCCACCATGGCCATCTTACTGGTCATTGAACAGCCACCATGGCCATCTTACTGGTCATTGAACAGCCAGTATGGCCATCTTACTGGTCATTGAACAGCCAGCATGGCCATCTTACTGGTCATTGAACAGCCAGCATGGCCATCTTACTGGTCATTGAACAGCCACCATGGCCATCTTACTGGTCATTGAACAGCCACCATGGTCATCTTACTGGTCATTGAACAGCCAGCATGGCCATCTTACTGGTCATTGAACAGCCAGCATGACCATCTTACTGGTAATTAAACAGCCAGCATGGCCATCTTACTGGTCATTGAACAGCCACCATGGCCATCTTACTGGTAATTGAACATGCAGTGTGATATCTTACTGGTCAAACAACTGCCATTGGTCTTTTTCTGGTCATTGAATAGCCAGTATTGTATCCCATGATACTTGACTGTAGCGTATGATACATAACTGACAGCCTTCAAAGACCACTGAACATAAATAAATGCTAACTTGTCAGTGAGATTTCATGCTCAGAAAAGCATGAAACCATTCACAGTGTGTGATCTGACATGCAAAAGCTACAATTGATTGACCTTTTCATTGTTCTGTGTATATAGTAAATAATAAAATGAAATAAGATATTTAATATGTGTTAGTGGGATAACACAATAAAATTACCACTTTTAATGAGGTGATTAATTGCATGTATTAATCTAAATAAAAGCTGAACTACAATTTATCCTAGACATGCTAGTATTGTTCATTCCAGCCTTTATACAAATGAGTTTATTTGATCCTGTACATATACAGAATTAATAGAATCCCATATTCCTAACCTTTTCACCACCAGTTCCCTCTTTTCATCACAAATATTGCCTCGTTTATAGTCTACACTTTCATTTAGAAGATAGAGAAAAAAAAATACACAAATTTTTGAGTGAAAATTGACTCATATTTCGTCTGTTAGCTCCGAAATTAGGGTTCATTTCCAGAAATATTGAAAAATATAAAAAATCTTCAGAATAAAAATGGGCAAGAAAGTCTAGTGGTGAAAAGGTTAATGGCCAAGGATCTGATTTCTCATACCATGGAAAACAATGCAAACATCATCGACATACAAAACATCCATTGTAACAAAATTGAGAGAATCCAATCTACCACTGTGCCACACCCAAGGTATGATGCTAGCTATGCAAAGCAATCTACCAATTACTGATAGATAAAAATTAAACCCATTGAGCCCAACAGCAAAAACATTTCCTATTCAATTATTTCCCCCAAATAAATGTGATTTATTAAACGAGTTTAGAGTGTCTGTGGCTGTGTGACTGGCTGTCTGTGAAAAATCTCAAAAACTGTGCACAAACATGAACCGGTTTGGGACATATTTATGCATATTAAGTAGCTAACTTGCATATTAATTATGTGATTGCAAAATCACAAAAAACAACCAAATGGATTTTGATCAAATTTGTTACCAAGGTAAGGTACCTTGGGATAAAATGCAGACATGATTAGTTTTGAGGTTATGTCCGCGCATATTAAGTAGCTAATTTGCATATTAATTTCATTTCAGTCTGTGTAACAAAATCTCTAAAAAGAAATAAATTTTGATCCAGAGTTTTGACTTTTTATTTATTTTTT